AAAAGGAAATCCAAAGGGTCGGGAGTGGGAAAAGGGGGAATTCCGGGATAAAAACAGTCAAATCACAAGAGGGAATTTTTTCCAGGGAAAAGCTGCTCAGTCGTCCTCATCCCCGTCATCCTCAGGCTCTCGTTTCCTCTTCTGGCCCCGCTCTTCCTCTGGAAAAAAGAAAGAATTCCCATTATCCCAGGAGCCACATTCCTGCTTTTCCGGGAATTCCATTTTCCATGGAATTGAGGTGGTTTTTTTCCTTAGGAAAAGTGGGATTGGTTCCGTACCAGGCTCCTCCTCGTCCTCCTCGTCGTCCACCTCGCCGTCGTTGTAGCCTTCCTCATCCTCCTGGAATTCCGGGAAAAAACGGGATGTAAAGCTTGGGATCAGCCCAGGAGCTTCCCCAGGATCCCATCTTCCAAGGAGGGAAAAGTCCTTGGAATGTCCTCAGCAAGGAGCCACTTCCCAGTATTCCCATTTTTTATGGAACAGCAGGAGCTGGCACCGAATTCCCAGGGAATCAATCCCTGAGCTGGAGCTGGGAAGGTGGGAATGTGCCATTCCCAAGTTTAGGAAAACTGCAGTGGGATTTTTGGGAATGGGAAAAGCTGGATTGATCCAGAGGCTCCGAGCAGAACTGAGGAGGCTCAGGAACATTCCAGAGGGGCAGGAGAGGATTCAGGGCTGGAGGAGAGGGAAAACAAATTCCTGGAATTCTGTTTTCCCTTTTCCCATCCCACTTTTTCTCCTCCAATCCCATTTTCCTTCCTCCCATCCCACTTTCCCCTTGCCCTTTTTTTCCTCCCTCAATTCCATTCTCCCTCCCAAAATCCCATTTTCCTTCCTCCCATCCCAGTTCCACCCCAATCCCATTTTTCCTCCTATCCCATTTTCCCCTCCAATCCCACTTTTCTCCCCATCCTTCATCTGCCCCAGCACAAAGTGAATCCTGAAATTCCTCAAATCCCGGATTTCCTTCCCAGCCCGATCCCGCGCATTCCCGGGGCGGAATTCCAGGGCTCACCTCCTCCTCTCCGCTCACATCCTCCTCCTCCCCTTCCTCCTCCTCCTCCTCATCGGGCTCACCTCCTCCTCTCCGCTCACATCCTCCTCCTCCCCTTCCTCCTCCTCCTCCTCATCCTCCTCATCCTCCACTACCTGAGCGTCGTCGTCGTATTCCTCCTCTGGAAAAACAAAATCCACGGAAAAAGTTGAGGTTTTTGGAATAATCCCACCCAAAATCTGGGAATCTGAACAGAGAATTCCTTAGGGGGAGCACAGGATTGTCAGGGAATGCAGGGTTGGAGTCACTCCGGCTGCTCCACTTCCCACTGTTCCCAAGGATTTTGGAGTTGGGGAATGCCAGCTTTTCCAGGAATGGATGGAGCAGAACTTTCCCATCATCCATGAGAAGCCTTCCCATGGACACAAAATTCCAGCCTTTTAGGCGATTCCCAAAATTCCCAGCAGAAAACCAGGAAGTGCCGAGCCCCTGGAGTGTTTTCCATGCGTTTGGGAGCTTTTGGGAACCTTCCCAGAGTTCCCACTCAGCATTCCCGGGAAAAGTGCACATCCAGCTTTTCTGCTGTGCTGCTGGGGTGGGAGAATCCAGCAAATTCCCTGGGATCAGCCGGATCCTCATCCTGGGATTCCTGGAATTCCAGGCTGTTCCTTCCTCAGTTCCTGGCACAGATTCACTGGAGCTCCCTGGTGTTTTCCATGCACTTCCCTCATGGAGCAGCTCCCCAATTCCTGCTTTTCTCCATGCCCCTGGAAACCCTTTTCCATGAGGAATTCCAGAGTTCCAGGACATTCCTTCTTACCCATGCTCACCCCGTTCCCGTAATTCCTTCAGACCCTTCCCAATCCCACCCCTCCACTCCCAGATGGAGGAATGGGATTTTCCAGGCCCTGCCACCTCCTCCCCTCATTCCTTTGGGATGCAGGAATCCCGTGGAGCACATCCCACGTACCATCCTCATCCTCCTCCTCGTCATCCAGCCCTTCCACGTATCCCTCGGCGTCGGAATCCGGCGCTTCCTTGTCGTCCCGGTCTTTCACTAGGGACAAAACTGAGGAAGTTGCTCCTTCAGGCCATGCCCAGCTCCTTCCCACCATTCCCTCAGGACTCCCAGCTCCTTCTCCTCATTCCTTCAGCGCCTTTCCCTCGTTTCCTCATTCCTTTGGGACACTGGGATCCTTTCCCTCATTCCTTCAGGACAGTAAGGTCCTTTCCCTCATTCCCTCAATTTCATTTCCCTCACTCCTTCCCCTAATTCTGTCATCCTTCCCCTCCATTCCCTCAGGACGTGGAGGGCCTTTCCCTCATTCCTTTGGGACACAAAGATCCTTCCTCTCATTCCCTCAGGACACTGAGGTCCTTCCCTTCATTCCCTCATCCCTTTCCCTGATTCCTTCCCTCATTACCTCACTCCTTCCCCTCAATTCCCTCA